CCGGCTTGTGCCCGCCATCAACGCGGGCATCGTGTGGCTCAACACGCACCATCGCAACGACCCCTCGAGTCCCTGGGGCGCCGTATCGCCCTCGGGCACCGCCTCCGCCGTCGGTCTCGGTGCCAACCCGTCCGGCATCGGAAGGGAGAACGGCATCGAGGCGCTCAATGCCTACTCGACCCTGCAGAGCGTCACCATCAATTACGCCGATACCGCCACGATGCGTGCGAGCGAAGACTGGTTCAAACCCGCCGACGACTCGTCCGATACACAGACGCAGGTGCGGTATGGCTAGCAATGTCAGTGTGATTCAAAGGCCAAAGAGCGAGACTGCGTTGAGACCGAGCACGGCGTGCTTGTCGGCGTCGGACCACGAGGCGACGCTGTCGATCGCCTCGACGTTTTCCGACACGGAGCGCCAGATTTCGGTCTGGTCGTCGGTGATGACGGTGCCGTCGTTGCGCGTGGGAGGGAAGAAGGGATGGTCGGTTCCAAAGTGCATCCTCGCAATCCCCAGCTTGACGTCCGCGTCAGCCGCACCGGGTCCGTACCTCTGCGCACGCCCGATGATTTTGGCGACGGCTTCGAGCTCCTCGGGTCCATACGCTACCGCATCGTAGTACAGCTTGCCGAGGTAGTAACGCGGATCGTGCTCGAGTCGGTTGCACACGTGTGGATCGTGCGCCACACAGCTTGCGAGCCGCGATGAAAGAATCGGCAGCGCGCCACCAGAGTGTGCGACTAGCAGGCGCAGTTGAGGGTATCGGTCAAACACGCCGGCTAGGATGAGCCTCGTCGTAGCTGCCGCCGTCTCAAAGGGGAAGCCCAACGCCAGTGGAAGCACATGTCCATTATCCTGCTGACCCCACAGGCCGTCTGGCTGCGAGGCATCAGATCCCAGACCATAGTGGGGATGCAAGAAGAGCACCAGCCCGAGCTCGGCCGCTTTCTCCCACACTGGTTCGAGCCTCGGATCGTCGAGCCCCCTCCCCAGGCCGCGCGATCCCAGAATGGCGCCACACAAACTCGGCGCGCCCTTGATCGCGTCCAAACTCTTGACCACCTCGTCCACCTCGACCCCCTGCGCAAGAGGCAAGATCCCAAACGCCCTCATCCTCCGTTCCGGCTCGATCGTCGACCCCTTTGCGTCTCCGAAGAGCTGCGTAGCCTGGTGGCAGTACTCTTCCAGATCGGCATTGCACTCTTGCGCCGAAGTCACCGCCTGCTTGGCGTCCATCCAGTCGAGCCACGGATTGGCGAGCGACACGATGCTCACGTCGATCGCATGCCGCTGCATGAACGACACCTTGTTGCGCACGTCCCAGTACTGCGGGCCCACCGTGCGTCCGCCGGCGACCTCTTGCGGAAGAATGGCGAGCTTCTCGGTGCCATCGCTCGACTCGCGGTGGATGCGCGGGTTGACGCTGCGCGAGCGCAGCAGCGACACCAGCCGCGTAGTGTAGATGTGCGAATGCACGTCCACCAGAAGCTTCTTCATCGTTGTGGTGGGAGCGATAGCTGTCGTTGAGAGAGGGGGCGCAGAGCTCTTGTAGGAAGAGGTGAGGTGATCCATGCGCAGCCGAGCGCCGAACAGCCGGTCTTCCGACGGCCAACCTTATCTTTCGAAATCCTCCACAGGTGTCAGAGCCGCAAAAGCAGACAACGCTGCGGCTTGGATTTGGTCATGCTTACCAATCGAGGCACAAGCGAAGCACGCGATTGAGGCTGCGGCTGATGCGGGGCAAAAAGGCAGCGCGGAGGCTGTCAGGCAGTGCCGACTTGGAGCACGCCATCCCTCTTGCACGATGGCGCACAAACCAGCCCCGCTCTCGCTCTCGCCTTCCTCTCGTTCTCGCTCTCGCTCTTGCCGGCGATGTATAGCCGCAACAGCGCTGGGCGAGCAACGACCCACGTAACCGCCGTGTGGATGCCATGTGAGCCGAAGCGACTTCTTCCGTTCCGGTGACGTGCTCTCTCCTAGTCCCACTCTTCTACATAAAGGCATCCGGACCTTTTCACCCTCGTCGGCTTCTTCTTCCACACACACATCCCATCAGAGCTACAATGTTGTCGACACTTCCTGCTGGATCTGGCCACTTTTCGGCGCCCACCGGGTCGGGCGCTGGCGATGGCGATGGTGCGGGCGGCTTCTCGGCGTCGCAGATCGAGGCGCAGCGCTCGCTCAAGTCGTCGATCCAAGAGCTCACCTCGGGCCAGCACGACGCCATTCCCTCGCTGCTCACCCCCTATTCGTCGCTGCCGCGTCGCATCAGCGGTCCTACCGTGTGGGATGCCGCATCCTACACCGGCGCCGAGAACCGCGCCAAGTGGGTGCACACCTTTACCGAGCGCCAGATCGCACAGCTCGAAGCCGCCGCTCAGCTCTGGCTCGAGTCCGGCCGCGAGTTGGGCGAGATCGAACGATCCACCTTCCCCCTTCCCTCGGACCTGATTGCAACCCTCACGCAGCTGCGACAGCGTCTCGTCGAAGGCCACGGATTCTACCTTTTCAAAGGCCTCCCTACGAAGAGGTGGGGTAACCGACTGAGTGCCATCGCCTACCTCGGTCTGGGCAGTTATCTGGGTAACATTGTGTCGCAGAATCGATACGGCCATGTGTTGGGTCACGTCAAGGATCTGGGTGAAGACCCTACCGCGATTGACAAGGTTAGGATCTACCGTACCAACGCGA